TGACAAATAATGTTGCATTTAAATTTTTGAAAATTGTAGTTGACAGAAAAGTAGGAAGCCAGAAGAGAGTATCACAAGCAAGAAGAGCAAGAGAAGAAACTGTTAACATAGAACTTATGTTTACTACTAGCAATTTCAACTGTGAAATTTTGAGACCTAGCTGCCAATCCAGTACTGCATTTAAATTTGTGAAGTCAAGGAACTAAAGAGGAAAATTAATCAGGACTTTGACCCAAAGGTTATTTCATGTACACATCTAAAGATAATCTATTACTCCACTCCACAATTATTATTAATTAATTATGTTAATAAATATTATTATTATTATTATTATTATATATTAGAGTATATCAATTTTTTTTTTTTAAATAAAGTTTACATTTCAGCTAAGGGTACATTTGACATGAATCCTTAGCAAAGGCATGAATCCATATCCCTGTTTTCTGCCTTATAAACTATTTTGCAAAAAAATGGTAATGCTAATAGTGAAATTAGCCATTTCAATATATATATATATATATATATATATATATATATATATTGTGTGTATTTAGGCAGCATTTTTTCATTAATACATGTTTCATTAAATAATATAGACAAGTTTTGTCTATTTCTTTTAAGCAAATTCCTTGCATATCATCTGATAAGCTTAATAATATTATCATTGAAAGATGAAAGAAAATCACCATATTCACAACACTTAACTCTACATTCGAATGATAATTCTAACATTTTTAGGCATTTAAAACAACATGCCTGGTAGCATAGACAATTCCGGAAAATCCTTGTTGAAAACACAACTATACTTAAACATGAAAACAATAAACAAAAACTAAAAATTCTTGAAGCTATATACATAAAACAGTTGATACCTAACCTGAACAAAATAAACTATGAAATCTCCAGAAATATTCTTAAATTTCTATAATTGGTAACAGAAGCCATTGGTTTATACCAATGGCTTCCCATACTTAACACCTCTTGTTTTCACACTCATGTGGTCATGTGTGATGTCATGGGCTGCGGTGCGATTATCACTTCCAGTGGCTCATATGCATGAGTTTGTGGTTGCTTGGAAATCATCCATGCAAAGAAAAACAAACTACTATTGTTGCTATGTCCATGTATTGTTTAATATATTGTAATATTATTGTCATCTATGGTGATTTTCTTTTGTCTTTCAATCATTATGTTATTAAGCTTATCAGACAATATGAAAGGAATTTGCTTAAAATAAATAGACAAAACTTGTCTATATTATTTAATAAAACATGCATTAATATATATATATATATATATATATATATATAATAATAAATAATTCGACGTATGAGGATCTGACAGCTTATTGATTCAGTTGTGAAAGTTTGTGTGATAATCTTAAGTGGCATTTAAGACCCACTAGTGATTTACAAAGGAGGCCACATATGTAGCAAGTGTGAGGATTATGAGATGAGATCACTGTTAGATTGGCTGACCTTTTAGATCTTGCTCTTGCTTCTTGAAGATGATTCAGACAAGCAGATTGAAAACTGCTGAGTCCACTAAAACACGTTGATCTCCATTCTACCCGCTCTAAGGCTAAGCACTCAAGGGTGTTATGTGGTATATTGACTGCTGACAAGTTGCTTTTCAGCTTGTCTTTGTATCTTAGCCATGGGCATCCTACATTCCTGTAGCCCTGATCTAACTGGCTGTACATTAGGATCTTGGGTATCCTGTCATCAGACATTCTCAAAACATGACCAGTCCACTGAGACTGTATGATAAAAGTCTTGATTCGTCCAATATTACACCTGTTAAACAGATCTATGTTAGATGTCCTATCTTGAAGCTTAACTCCGCAGATTGTACGTAGACAGCTTTTAATATTTACACTATAATCAAATCACTTGTGTGGGTTTTCTGGTGGTTTACCTTGATATATATATATATATATATATATATATATATATATATATATATATCCTACTTTTTCAGATTGATTTGTTTTTTATGGTTATCAACCCTTTCTTGTTTATTTAAAGGTGAAAGTATACAGTGGTTCAGATGCCTTAATGATGGAAAAACCATTTATTTCAAACAACAAATATTTTTCAGCATAAACATTCTTCTTTGTCAATGCACTTAATTCAGTGGTGAATATTGATCACATACATTGAACATTATACAGTGAAAATTTAAGATCAAATTTTGCCTAATAACTTTGTGTCAGGCTATGGATTTATTGATTTACCCACATACAGAGAAAAGAAAATTCCAAAATAAATTTGCATTACTTTTATTTTTATTTTTTGCTTAATAATTTTTTCTGCTTTTTTCCCTTTTACACTCTTTAATTTTTTCTCCCTGATAGTTAAATTCTTTCTTTTTTTCATTTTTCATTTGTTTCTTTTCTCATTTTTTTTTCTTTTTTCATGCATTCATTTGTTTTATATTGCATTTTTCTCAATTTTGTTGTCTTTTTTTTCAAAGCTGAACAATGTCAAATTAAATTTCTGTTTTTTAGTTTTTTGCTCATGCTTGCATGTGTCATATTCAATGAAAGTAAACTTGTCTCTGTTAAACAATTGATAAAGCAAAAAGACATTTTGACGGGTGAGTGTTGACATAAGGCGCTTGTCATTTGACACTGAAGTCTGCCTTCTCTTGTCAGAAAGGAATAAAATAAGGAATAATACCCTACGTTTCCTACTTGAGCAACAGAACTGGGAACATCATATGAATAATAAATAGAAAGAAAGAAAGAAGACAAAAAAGAAATATTGGAAAATGAAAATGGAAGAGAGAGAAAATCAGAGAGAAAATAAATTGAAAGAATAAAAAATGAGAAATTAAAATAATTTTCCTCCTCCCTTTTCCTTTTTTCCTTTTTACTTCTTCCTTTTCTCTTTTCTTTTTCCTTTTACCCTTCCTTTTTCCTCTAATTCCTTGTTCCTTTTACTTCTTCCTTTTCTTTTTTCTTTTTCCTTTTCCTCCCCTTCCTTTTTCCTCTAATTCCTTGTTCCTTTTACTTCTTCCTTTTCTTTTTTCTTTTTTCCTTTTCCTCCCCTTCTTTTTTCCTCTACTTCCTTGTTCCTTTTACTTCTTCCTTTTCTTTTTCCATTTTTCCTTTTCCTCCCCTTCTTTTTTCCCCTAATTCCTTGTTCCTTTTACTTCTTCTTTCCCTTTTTCCTTTTCCTCCTCTTCTTTTTTCCCCTAATTCCTTGTTCCTTTTACTTCTTTTTTCTTTTTCCTTTTCCTCCTATTCTTTTTTCCTCTAATTCCTTGTTCCTTCTACTTCTTCCTTTTCCTCTTCCTCTTCCTTTTCATTCTCTTCTTTTTTCCTCTACTTCCTTTGTTCCTTCTACTTCTTCATTTTCTTTTTCCTTTTTTCCTTTTCTTCCTTCCTTTTTCTTCTTCCTTTATCTTTATTATTCTTCATTTTTCTTTATTTTTCTCTTCTTTCTTTTCATTTTTTTCCATTTTCATCATTCTTCTCTATTTGCCTCTCAGTCTTTCTTCTCATTTATTTTTCTTTCTCTTTTTCTTATTCTTTTACTTTTTCTTTATTCTCCATTTTCCCTTATTCTTTTCCTTAGCCTTCTTTCTTTTTTCTATTCTTCCTTTTCTTCTTTCTTATTCTATTTTATTTTTCTCCTTTTTCTTTATGTTAATTCTCAATCCTTTTCTTTTTCTTTCTTTTTCTTTGATTTCTTCTTCTTTTTTTTTCTATATTCTTTCTGTTTTATTCTTTCCTCTCCTGCAGTTTTAATTCAACTTTATTCTTCCTCTTCCTTTTTTTCTTCTTATTTCCTCTTCTTGTTGTTCCTTATTATTCTTTCTTTTCATCTTCAGTTTCTTCTTCCTCTTCCTTCACTACTTAAATCTTCTGTTCCCTTATCCATTCCTCTCATTTTTTATTCTTTTCCCTTTGCTTTTCTTTCTTACAGTTTTCATTATTTCTCTCCTCTTCTCTTCCCTTCTCTCTTCTCAATCTTTCAGTCTTTTTTTCCCACTCACTCATCTTTTACTCTTCTTCTTGCTCCTCTTTAGTCATCTTTCACTCTCCCTTCATTACTTTTTCTTTCTATACACTCTTTGTTCATCTATTAAAAATTTTCACTTCTCCTCCTGTCTTTCTTTCTTTTTCTTTCATTCATTTTTCTTTCACTCTTTAGTTTACCTTTTCTATCATAAAAATCCTCATCTAAAAATTTCTTCTATTAAATTCTCCTTTTTCTTTTTTTTCTCTTTATTCCTTTGCTTTTCTTCTCTTTTTTTTCTTTTTCTTCGTCTCTTTTGTTTTCTTTTCCATTTTCTTTTTTTATTTCCACTGACACCCCAAATTCTAGATTCTTTTTTTTTTATATATTTTCTTCATTTTCTTTTACTTTTACTTCTTCTTTTCTTTCTTCTTTTTACTTTTTTCTTCTTTTATTTTTTTTTTTCATCTCAACTGATTTCACTTCTTCACTCTTCTGTTTTTTCTTTTCTCTCTTTTTCATCTTTTCTTCATTTTCATTTCTTTTACTACTTTTCTTCCTACTGTTTATTTTTGCTTCTTTTATACCTTTTGTCTTGTTCTCTTTTTCTAACCATTACCACTAATTCTAAATTTATCTTTTCTGATATTTTTATTTTACATTCTTCTTCTTCTTCTTCTTCTTCTTCTTCTTCCTTTCATTTTTCATTTCTTTATTTTTCTTCACTTCTTCATTTCTTTTTTCTTTTCTTCTCCTTTTCTTTCTTTCTTTCTTTCTTCTTCTTCTTCTTCTTCTTCTTCTTCTTCTTTTTCATTTTATCTGATTTTACTACTTCTTTATTTTTCTCCTTTTCATTTTTCTTTTTCTTAGTTTTCTTCTTCTCAATCTTCTTTTTCTTTTCTTTATCCATTCCACTTCATTCATTTTAAATTCTTCTGATTTTATGTTTCTTCTTTAAATTTTCTTTTCTTTCATCTCTTCTTCTTCTTGCATTTTCACTACCACCAACCCCCATCTTTTCTCTTTCTTATCATCATGTACCTGTCACTTCTTCCTAATCATTTTGTTCTTTTCTTTCCTTTTCTTAAACTCATCTTAAACAATGTCCTGAAAAATTATTCTAAGTGTCCACAAAACATCTAACCATTTCTTTTGTACATTTATTTTTAAAAATTAATCTCCAATCAAACATGAATATTAAGACCTTAAGACTTGACTAAAAGATATTTACCCCATCCCCTGTCCCAAAATAAGGTAGCTACATTGATTTTAATTGGAGCAGAATAAAGAATGGTCTGTTCCTTGTATAGCTCCAGAAAATACCTAACTCCCACTGCCAAGAGTTAGATCAGACCAAGATTGGACTATTGTTGGCATATCTGGACTAGTGTTGCCCAATCCACACTAACCAGCCTCAAGAGTTTATGTGAATTAATGGCAGAACAAAGGTAGAAATCTTGGTAAAGGGTTCAAAGTTTACTAAGTGCTACAAAGGATATGAGGTTGGGGAGAACCATGATAGCCAACATAATGAAGGGACATGATATATAAAAGAAAATGTGCACATCCATAGTTAATAAAAAAAATGACATCTGGTATAATGATTGGAAATCTGTGTCCCAGACATTTTCATGGCATTACCCTAAGAGAAGCCTGCAGTCTTAGGCATGTCATAATGCTGAGCAAAAACTAAGAAGAATGAAAGTAAATATCCCAAATGATAAAAAAAATTGGGTTACCATTTGTCTTATTTTGTGTGTATGCAGATTAAATATCACATCTTCTTTTAAAACACTTTTTTATAATCATTTCACACCAAAAAAGACGATAATGCCACTAGGATGCAAAGAGTTACTGGGATTAAAAAAGAATGAGAAGACATTAGTAAAGAGAAAGGACAATAAAAGAACAGTATTCAGGAAGACAGAAAATGGCGATTACCATTGCATTAAATTTTTGAAAATTGTAAGTGGCAAAGAAACAGAAATTGGAAGGAAATTCCACAGGCGAGAAGTGCAAGAAAAGTAACTATTAGAATAGTTACATCTTAGCTACTTCAACAGTAAAATGGGGAAACTGTTGCCAATCTTATAGCACTCTTAAATTCCTGTAGGTGAGGCTCCAAAAAGGAAAGATCATTAGAACAGTTGACATGAAAATATTTGTAGAAAAGACAAAGTGAATTCACATTATTTGGTGAGAATGTGATTGAAGTCAAGATGCCAGGTTAGGATTGATAATATTACAGACTGATATTTGAATTTTGACAAGATTCTTGAGATATAGAGTAGGAGTAACAGACCAGATATTCAATTCATGAATGGATGATAGATTTATAAATGTATAAGATGGTTTCTTGACAAGAAAAATTGTCTGGCATGACACAGTAAACCAACTTTCCTAGGTGTAGACCCAGCAGTTATTTCAATATAATCATTCCACTCCATGTCAGTGGAAAAATGTGAGCCCAAGATGTTGCTCTCCTGGAGGTTAGCATCAGTCATGCTGATGGCAGGCAGAAAAGATTTTTGTTTTGGAGGCATTAAAATTAAAAAGCCATATTCGTCCTTGCATGGAGTATTGCTGCCATATATGGTCTGGAGCCCCTTCTGTTTGCCTCGGGGTTCTTGATAGGCTCCAGAGGTAGATAGGCAATATAATTGGCCCTGCTCTGGTATCTCGTCTACAGTCACTTTCTCACAGACGCACCGTCACCTCTCTCTGTCTTTTTTACAAATACTTTCATGGCAATTTTTCTGAGGAGCTGCATTCACTGGTTCCCAGACTTCATGAGTTATAGCGCCCTACGAGGCTGGCATCCCACTCTCACCCTTTCACTGTTGAAACTCCTAAATGTAGCCATCTCTTCTACTTCAATAGCTTCATGTCTCACACCTCTTGCCTGTAGAACTCCCTTCCCTATTCTAGTTTCACTGAGAGCTATAATCTCCAGCTATTCAAATGTAATGTTAATCGACATCTCCAGTTGCCTTGATCTATCCACTATCCTTCTCCTCATCCTTTCTTCTATCACTCCTATCTGATCTTGCTCCAAATTTTCTGTAACCCCTTGCGTCCTAGTGGCTTCTCGCCTTGCTTGGGATGAAACGCTTAAAAAAAAAATTCTTAGTTCTAGTTAGCCACTGATTGGAGGTCCTTTTTGGGGAGCAGTTGACAGTTTTTTCTCAACAGCAATAATCAAAATATTTCCTGCTTCTTTATCTCTTGTTTCTCTTTCTTTTTTGTCTTATCTTTTTTTCTTCCTCTTTTTGTTACTCCTTTCCACCCCTTATCCATCTTTTTCAGTTTCCTTTCTTTCTCTTGTGTTTCTCCTACTGTGTTTTTCTTTTTTACTTATTTTCTTTCCTTCTTTCTTTAGTTCTTTCTTAATAGCACAGATTTTCTCTTTTTTTTTAAGAATGAAAAATAGTCTTCTTGCCAATTAGATACTATAAAAGTATTTTACAGAGTTAAATGAAGGCATGAGGAAAATATATAGATAGATAGATAAATAGATAGATATGAACAGGATGAGGTATATAGATAGACAAAAGGATAGTGTTAGAAAGCGAGAGAGATAAATAGAGAGTGAAAGAGATAAAGAGATAGAAAGAGATAAAGTGAAATGTAAATAGAGACAGGAAGAAAGAAATTGACAGAGAGATAGAGAGAGGAAAAGAGTCAGTAAAAGAGTGAGCTAGACAGAAAGAATAAAATATAGATAAAAAGTAGAGAAAGAAAGAAATATAAAAATATGTAAACAGAGAATGAGGTATAGAGAAAAATATAAGAGAATGCAAGAAAAGAGATAGAGAGAAAGAAAAGAGATATAGAAATATGTAGGGAGAGAGATAAAATGCAAAATAGAGAAAAGAAAAGAAAAACCAGATCACATCCAAAGAATACTTCCAATTTTGTCTAAGGTTTTGAGAGGTTATGTTTATATATTTTTATTACTGACTTTGTTTCTCTCTTTCACTCACTCTCTCTCTCTCTCTCTCTCTATTCACTCTCTCTCTTTATTTCACTCTCTCTCTCTCTTTCACTCCCTCTCTCTCTCTCTTTCACTCTCTCTCTCTCTTTCACTTTCTCTCAGGCGCTCCCTCTTTTTTCTTTCTCTCTCTTTCTTTTTCACTCACTCCCTCTCTCTCTTTTACTCTCTCTTTCACTCTCTGTCTTTCACTCTCTCTCTCACTCACTCTCTCTCTCGCTCTCACTCTCTCTCTTTCACTCTCTCTCTCTCTCACTCAATTGCTCTTTCACTCTCTCTCTGTCACTCTCTCTTTCACTCACTCTATCTTTTGCTTTCACTCTCTCTCTCATCTTTTGGCTCATGCTCTCTCCCTCACTTTTTCTTTCACTCTCACATTTTCACTCTCTCTCTCACTCTCTCTTTCACTATCTCTCTCCCATCGTAACATGTCAATTCTCTATCTCTCCTAAGATCAATGGTTCCCTAACTTTTTTCTCTGGGCCGCCTCATTTTCAGAATGAAAATCTGCTTACACCTCACTAAATTTTATGTCATAAAAAGTACACTTAAAAATTTTAAAAAACAGGGAGAGGGTTAAAGAGAGATAACCGCTAATTTGAAGTCCGAACATTATTATTGATAACTCTCTTCTCTATTTTGCTGACTCTAGTTACTATAATCTTTATACTTGATATAATGCAAAAATATCACAATGATAAAACTGGTAAATAATTATTTATAACTATTTATACTAAGGTACATGCAAGCAACTATAAGCAATCCATAATACTTCCGTGGAAAGTGCTCAGAAAAACTACATTCCCTGATCCCACCAAAGCAAACCTTCACAGCAAGAACACACCCTGCCACTTACATAGTAGCAAACTATCCACATTACCTCTGTATTCCATCAGTGAGAAGTAAGTTCCACTTGAGCAGCTTCTTCCTGCAAACCACCACCCTGTGGAACTGACTTCCAACAGGATGTTTCACCAATCACTGCAATCATAACCTGTTCAAGGCTGGGATAAAGCATTGTCTTACACTATTATACACACAAATGGCTTCCAAATGTAACCCTCTACCTTGAGTACCCACAGGCCCCGTAAAGTGTGAACTTCACTGTAAAGAAAAAAAAAATAATATTTCTTAATTTGGAAATCATTTATTTTTGGCATATAAATTTTTTGAAACTGTTTCTAAATCTTTGATTGTTTTTCATTCATTCCGCCTCACCTGCTACTCTCTCCCACTCCACTTATGAGGCCAGCCACACCATTTGAGAACCACTGCCTTAGATGAATTCACCCAATCATTTTGTTGGTCCTTTTTTACTGATTACCCAAATTGGGGTCAATGTTCCATTGTCATTGCCCTGGGTGCTCTACTGGGATAATGGACTTGCTCTTGTTGCCTCCCACAAATTCACATTATTTCTTCTTCCCAACTTTTTATGATAGTTCCATGCGCAACACTATATATATTTTTGTTTTTAATCAATATCACCCCATGCAATAAAGCCACTAAAACACATGGGGTTAGACGGTGTGGAGGAATTAGGAACAGAAATAATAACATTGAGCAGGATGAGAAAAGAGTAATCAGGAAGACAGTAGATAGCAAATGACATTGAATTTAATTTTTTGCAGATTAAAGTTGGCTAGAAATTATGCAGCCAGGAAGGCATCCCACAAGTGAGAAGTGTGAGAAAAGAAAATGTTAGCATAGAATTTAAGGTTACATCTGACCAGCTCAACTGTAAATTGATGAAACCTTGACAAAAAGTCTAGGTAGCATAGTGAAGAGTGTTATTTATTCTGCTACGTGCAGAAATGTGGTACAAGGCCAAAATTGGAGAAAAGGATGGTTTTCTTCTGTCTTAATGTTAAACTTAGCAAGTCACAAACACTCACCCAGACATACAACAATATTCCTTACACAAAAACAACACATTCTTACTTACCTTTCTTACTACATTCACCATAATACCTCATTGTCTCTCTGAAAATTTTAACTAGTCCCCATATGTACAATTCATTGTCTGTGGGTAGTGGGGTAATAAAACAACAATTTTAAAACTAGCCCCAATGAGTATTCCATAGTGAATAGCTCATCTGAATAATTATTTATTTATAGAAAAGGCACAGAGAGGCCACCTTATAGCAGTGGGAAAGTGACTGAAACCAAGCTGCCAGATCAGAACCAATGATATTGCTGATTCTTCTCTGGATCTTATCAAGGAGGTTAAGGTAAATAACATGTGGCACCAATATTCGAAACAAGAATGAATGGTAGACTTATGGAAAATATACACTGCAAAAAAGATGCCATTTATTTGTCACATTTGTTTGTTTTGCCTGCGTCAACTCTGTTAATTTTTGTGGGCTCTATAGTTCTCTGTAGACATCAAACACTGATACTAAAATGGTCTTCTCATTAAAGGCAAATAAAATAACAGTTAAAAATCTACTCTTATTACAGTGGACCTCATTTTCTGTGAATTCCCAATTTGAAGTTTCAGTTACAATCAATCAACCCCAGAAAGAAACAATTCACAGATTTTTTGTTTATAATAATCCCCCAGTGCAAGAATAAGGATGCTGACAATTCAAATATGGCAAATGGAAGCCATAAAGTGTTTCCTTTTAAATGAAATGATGAAAGTTTTCAATAAAGAGAATAAAAACATTTTATTCTGACTTTGCTAAGATTTATAATAAGAACAAATCTTTTACCCGTCATATGACTTTTAATAAATTATATTTTTATAATCGTTCTCTTTTATTATTAATTATCATTATTAATAAGTCCCAACCTGCAAGAGTAGTGATGTTGGTAATTCAGATAAGCCAAAAGAGCACTTTCTTTAAGTGAAAAGGTAAAAGTTCTTAACTTAATAAAGAAAGAAAAAATAGTACGCTTGCAATTCTAATATTTATAAAATATGGAGTTATTACACTGAACCTTGTTTTCTATCAATTTGCAGCTTGCAGATTAATTGACCCATGGTCAATCCCAGAAATCAAGAATTCATAGGTTTTATTAAAAATTAGTCACAAATTCCAAAAACAATGATGCTGACGGAAAGAAAATAATGTAAAGTTTTTGTTTTTTTGAGTAAATGTGAAAATTCTTGGCTTAGAAAAGAAGAAAATGTATGCTGGATATTATTCATAAGTATTACAGAAAGAAGAGCTCTTCTGTCCTTCATACAAGTTTTATTATTCTATTTTATTATTGCTTTACTTATGCGCTATGAAAAACAACGACATATTTATTTGTTTATTCTTCTTGCCACTTTGCAATGCACAATGAAACTGGACAGCAGACCCCAAGATCTACAACCCATACACAAAAATTTTTAAAAAAAAGCACACATAGCATCAGATGAAGATTAATAACATAATGTTTAAAATGTGTTGAAAATTGTCTGCACATGGCAGTGTTCATTTTATTCAGGGTTCAAGGATAAAAGCTGCCCCCTCAAGCATTTTGTCCTAGAACTAGCAGAAATAAGACATTGGCCTGAGGATAACAGTTCAAACAAATGGTACCCGGCATGTGTACCATCTTTCATTATATTTTTAACTTTGATTTATTCTTTTGAATATTTAGATAAATTGTTGGCACCAGACATCTATAATTATCATACTCTTGTTGTATCAAATACAAGAGCACGATTAAATTATTTCGTTTAATCAACCTCTTTTCCCTGCAGTACCAGGCTTATGTGGTATGACACTCTTTTTATTTTTCAAATAATTTTCTTCACAGATGATTATTTTGTTTCATGTTTATTAGACATATAAAAATTCCTGGTAGAATATTTATTTGAACCACCATACTTATTGTTGGCTCTAGTTTTTAAATTAAACTAATATATACAGGTATTTATATATGGGTATCTTGGGGAATTTGGCTAAGTAACAGTCTAACTCTCTGCTTTCGGGTGGAGAGGAACCCGGACGAGGCTCCGCCGAAGGGCAGAGTCTTGTTCGGGGTGGTTGACTTGCCCCTGAACCCGTTTATGCAGGTTCAAAGAGGGGATATTTTGTGCCCAGCCTACGGGCTTGGAAATCCCACGTTAAACCTGGCCTTGTGCCACATATAACCCCCGTGGTGGGGGGGTCGCTAAATTTTTTTTTTTTTTATATGGGTGTCTGGCCTAGTTGCTATGCATTAGTTTTCAGATTATTAGATGTGAGTTCAAATGAAGTGATTGCTTAATAACATTGGTATGGAGAGATGATCCCAGCATTAAGAAATAAATGAAAGCCATAACACAGGTTTAGTCAAGCCTTGTGAGTAAAATTGGATAGATGAAACTGTTTGAAAGATGATTGTACTCTTACATGCAGTTACAAGTCATTGTGACTGAGAGTTTGAATGTATTGAGCTTTTTTAAGTACTGATCATTCTAGATTATACACACTATTCCAAAGACTGTAAGTAAGATTATTATTTATTCTGTCTAGACTCTGTTTTATATAACACAAGAGATTAGTGAGTGCACTTGAATAAACCACTCAACTAAACATTTACTTTACACTAGCAGTAAAAAGCTGTATTGAAATCTTTGAAATATTTTTCTCTATATTACACTTTGGCCATATTTTTCTCTTTATTACACTCTGGCCATATTCTTCTCTATATTACACTCTGGCCATATTCTTCTCAGTATTACATTATGGCCATATTTTTCTCTATATTACACTCTGGCCATATTTTTCTCTATATTAAACCCTGACCATGGTCAACCCCAGAACTCAACAATTCATTCATTCAATAAGAACAAATCTTTTATCTATCATATAAATTTTATTATAATATATTTTTATAACCATTCTCTTTTATTATTAGTTATTGTTCTTAATCTCATATGGTATGTAATAAGATCTCCAGAAAAACGAATTTTTTATCCATCATATTATATTGCTGTATATTGTCATAATTGTTATATTTTATTAGTACTTATTATTTTTCAATCATTCAAAAGATTGTTTGCTGTAAAACTTCCTCTTTTATTTTATTCTTCCTTATTGCATCATGGTCAGCCTTGAAGGTGAAATGCTTATATATGTTATACAGATGCCTGAAATCATGTTCAAAACATTGTTCAAATTTTAGGATTTTGCGTGCTGATTTTATGGGTAGGTAATCAAGCCCTCCCCAGTTGAAAGACTGGTGTAATACAGTCTTCCTTGTTCTATTCTATCTTGAGCCATATTTAATTGAGCTCTGTACTGTGTTCAAACAAATTCTTAGTTTTGCTTTCAACAGTTTAAATCTACAGCCTACCCTAGAAATAATTTATGTTTTCCTTAATAATGAGCCCCCAAGAGCAAGAATAAGGATGTTGTCAATTCAAATATGGCAAATGGAAGCTATAAAGTGTTTCCTTTTAAATGAAATGATGAAAGTTTTCAATAAGGAGAGAAAAAACATTCTATTCTGACTTCATCTATGAATGTCAGGATGTGGGCAATCATGGCTCTCCACATCTTCCTATCTTTGGTAGCTCTTGAGATAGAGAGGTTTCAGCATTTCTATATTTTAGGCTGTCTTTTTCATTTAACTTCTCTATGACTGTATCTCTCTCTCTCCTTTTCTATCTACAAACTCCCAACACCATCATCTCTGAAAAATCTTCCTTTCCTTGTCTGCCCCATCCCCAATAACTTTTTATTCCTTTGCCATCACCAAACCTTTCCTTTGCCTGCTATCTCTTCTCCATTGCATATAACTCTATTCTACGCATCCATCCTTACTCCACCAACCCTACCAGCCATACCCTTTGCTGTCACTCCAATTAAAAAGGCAGAGGCCGTGACACTCATCGTCAATTAAGGAGTCAGTTTGTATGTTCCAAGCACACAATGCATAAAGAGCAGAGCAAGGAATCAACATTACGCCTCCCCACTGCCAACAACTCAACAATGCCAATCTTGCCGAGATGATGACGGCTTTTACAAAAGTGCTGATGTCCAAAATCTGTTTATTATTGAATTATTTTTCATAAAGTGACTCCTTTGTTGTTGCTGTTTTCTTTGTTGTTGTTGTTGCTCATCTTCTGCCTGAGTTTGCAAAGCCTTGCTTCCCTGCTCCCTTGTTTCTGCCCCTTTGCTGATCTGGCAGATGGTGGCCTGTTTCTGGAATGAATCAACCATAAGCAGAGCGATAGAAACATGATTTACACAGAGATTTGTTCATTTTTCACGAATGAGAAAACAATCAGAAATATTTGCCTACAAGTAAATTGCCTATTGTTTTACCCTCTTCTAATATTTAATTGTTCTTTCACCATGTGCAGAGTCCCTTGATGATGTGGGCGATCACGGCTCTCCACAACTTCCTATCCTTTGTAGCACTTAGGTTTTATATAGGTTATTTGCTGCCTTCCTCTATCTCTCTTGTTTTTAATATGTCCTGTGAGTGTCAAATTTTCCGTGCCTCTTTCCTCATTATGTACCCAAGGAATTCCAACTGTTTCTTTCTGATTCTACATATAAAAGAGAATGAAGCTTTAAAATAAGAGAGAAAGAAAGAAAGAGAGAGAGAGGGAGGGAGAGAGAGAAAGAAAAAGAAAGACAGAAAAAGAGAGAGTGAGAGAAAGAAAAAAGAATCTCATTATTATAAAGAAATTAAAGAGAGACTCACACATCAGTACATTACTTGGTGCTTACCTCTGTCGCTCTTGCTTTCAATATGTTCTGTGAGTGTCAAATTCTCCAAGCCTCTTTCCTCATTATGTGCCCAATGAATTTTAACTATTTCTTTCTGATTTTATATATAAGTGTACATTTTTTTTCTTATTTTCCTTAAAATGCTATCCTTCAAGTTAAAAACAAGGCAAGAGAAGAAGAGGAAAACAGACAAAAAAATAGGCAGACAAAGTCAACGACTGGACTGGCAGATCATTTACGGGTTCTCAGGTATTAGCATGCAATCAAGACATGGAGGGAGCTGGTAAGGTCCTCTTCTTCTTCTTTATGTGCTGCGTCAACACAGGACATAGGTTAGGGGTGCGCAAACATTTTTTTCTCTTGGCAGCATTTTCAGAATTAAAATTTGCTCATGTCTCACCAAATTTTATATGATAAAAAGTACACTTAAAAATTTAAAAAAATAGAGAGAAGGTTAAAGGGAGATAGGCATGGATTCAAAGGCAGAACATTATCATTGATAACTCTCTCCTCCAGTTTTCAGACTCTAGTTACTATATTCTTAATACTTGATATATATATATATATATATATATATATATATATATATATATAAAATAATGGCTGCCCACCAGTATTGGAGGATTTTCTGTTTTCTTTTTGAATTTGTAGGTCTGATGAATTGGATCCTGATTATGATTCCAATGTAATAAATTATAACCATGGAATATTAGTGTTTGAGCCTTTTATATTATATTCTTGCTCTGTCCTAGACATTGAGCTCTACCTGAATTTCATCCACTTGAAAATATATATATATATATATATATATATATATATATATATATATATATATATATATACACACATATATATATATATAGACCACTAATATTATAATATATATATATATATATATATATATATATATAAAAAAAAAATTGAAAATAAAGCGAGACACTGTGCGTAAAAGAAAAAGAGAAAAGATAAATATCTTGCTGACTAAAAATAGATTATATATTATTGTAAAAAAGCAATCACAAATTCTAGAAGCATAAAATACAAACAACCCAAAGCAAAAATACAAACAACCCAAGAGCAATAAAATGCTCTCAAATTCTAGATAACTAGATATATTTCATGAATAAAAAAATTACAATATGTGAAGACACAATAATTAAAAACATGATGACGCGTGAAGACATGATATCTGAATAGCACAAAAACAACGTATGTTGATATTGGCTTATGAAAAGCAAAAGTACTCAGACATTGAACAATTTATATTTTAATATCTACTGAAAATCAGGAAAATAGTGCAAAACATTTTAAAAAAATGTAAAAATTTCTTAACAAAGAATTTTCATTGGTTTTTAACTAAACTTGTTTAAATTAAAAATTTCTGCCCAAACACATCAGCATATATATATATATATATATATATATATATATATATATATATTAGTGGTCAATATACATTCATATATATATATATATATATATATATATATATATGAAGAAAAATATACTGAAAAAAAAAACAAAAAATCCTAATATGCGATTATGCTGTTTTAATGTCTAATAGACCATCTTCAGGACATAGTCATAAAACATAATTATCATAGACCATATACAATTCAACATGAAAAAGACGATGGACATAAAAGCAAGATTTCCGTTATCTGTTTGAATTGGTCTTGCTTTTATGTCCATCGTCTTTTTCATGTTGAATTGAATATAGTCTAATTGAATATAGTCTAATAAAATGGGATGGCAAATAATTTTAAGGACTGTACCAACTTTTAGAAAAATCTATAACTATGAATGTAACAGATTGAAACTTCTAAAAATTTCACAAATTATTCAAAATTAAATACGGAATCAACAATTGATGGTAAATTCAGCAACTACTTGCAAATATTCACATTTCCTTAGAAAATATTCACATTTCTTTAGAAAATATTCAAATATTCGCATTTCCTTAGAAAATATTCAAATTTCTTTAGAAAATATTCAAATATTTGCATTTCCTTAGAAAATTTTCAAATATTCGCATTTGCTTAGAAAGTATGCAAATATTCAGTGGGAGCAAATAATTTTTTTCACAACTATATATATATATATATATATATATATATATATATATATATAATATAAAAGACTCAAACACTAATATTCCATGGTTATATTTTATTACATTGGAATCGTAATCAGGAACCATTTCATCAGACCTACATATTCAAAAAGAAATCCGCAAATATAACTCCGGGTACAAAATCAAAATTTTAGTGAGAGTGTACGTGTGGGAGTGGGAAACAATTGTGAGAGGGAAATGTATAAAAGCTCTAGAGAGAGGGTGTAACAGAAAAAAGAAGAACAGGAAGCCCTAAACGTGAAGGTGGGGATTAAAATTTAACAGAGAAAAGTTTTAAAGAGAGGAGTTAAATAACAGTTTAAATGAGTGAGATACAGATAAATATGAATTATTTTTCGATGCATAATTCGCTACCGATTCACTGACCTAAATTAAAATTAAAAAACAGACACCGGGAACGTGTGTATATATTTGTGGTGACACTATGCACAATAAAAAATGATATGATCTGAACTTAAAATTCAGAAGATGAGAGAGAGAGAAAAAAAAAGATGGGAGGGGGCGCAAATTGAAAACGAAGGGCATTTATAAGAGAACCGATATATATAATAGTTCTTTTCAACTTCTACATTGCATTCTTTGAGACATTTTGGCCTACTGTATCTTGATTGAAATTTCCAAGTAATTCAAACAGACAGGCAAAGGCATTAGAATTCATGTTAGCTACAGGTAGCCACTGTCTGTTTAAATACTGGTCCACACTTGAGCCCAATAGAAGGAAAAAGCCAATGTCCAGTTTTCTTACGTTTTGGTGAATGTGACACTGAACAAGAATGAGCTGAGAGAAGAACTGACTGTTTTAGTACATTAAAATGGAATAACTTCTAATGGATGAAAAGACGTAGGCTGTATGAATGGATGTGGACGAGTGACTTGCCATTCTTAATCCATTGGACAAAAACAACCCGTGAATGGATTCATTAATCTTTATAAAATTCCAAGTGCTTTGAGATTTTCTTTTTTCTTTTTATTTTGACGGGTGCGTAAATGAGAGTTTGATGAGTAGTTTAAGGTCTGAACGTATAGACAAAGGAGCAAGAACAGAAAAGAAATACCAGAGAGTGCCAAAAAAGAAAAGGAAAGGAAAACATTTACAATACAGAAGTTCACCTCTCCTCTGTATATATATATATATATATATATATATATATAATCTTACCTTTTTCCTTCTTTCTTGATTTTTTTAAATTTAAAATTTTAAGCTACCTTTTTATTTTATTTCCTAACCCCCTTGCAAGGTAATTCTTTCAGGGTGAAATAGCTATACATATGGGGTATTTTTGATTTTCTTTTATATGTAATTTATATATATATATATATATATATATATATGAGGAATTTGGTTAATTTAAACAAGAGTCAGTACTTTTCTTTGAAATGTATAGAAATATAATCAGCACACACACACACACACACACACACACACATATATATATATATATATATATATATATATATATGGCTCTGTTTTGTATATTTTTATATTCTAAATTGTGCACTGACTATATAGCATCCCAGGTTTGCCTTTATTATACAATATATATATATATATATATATACACACACATAATGATAATGACTGACCATATATATATGTCTGCTAACTATATATAATCTGAATGTAATGAGAACGAAAATAATATAAGTTCTAATGTTTACAGAAAAGAGGGCTCAATACAAAGAGTAAAGCAATGCAGCCACATTGAAACAAGAATGCATCTTTGTAGTGAGCAAGTTGTTTTTATCCATATGTAAAATTATAATAAATATGTATATATATGTAGACAGGCATCATATATTATTTATTCACTGCTTGAAAGAGAAATCCTTCCCAAGCCAGTAAAAGGTGTCAAATGTATGC